ATTGTAATCTTGGATTTTTAATGTTCTTTGTCTTGTCCGGCGTCCATGCCCATTCGGCTGGGTCAAACTCTAAGCTATGGATCACCATGTCAGGTCTGAAGATTAACTTTGGCCAAGAGCCAAGGACTCTTACCTTCCTAAGTAGGAAGAAGTCCATGACTTCCGATTCTACTGCGCTGTTGAGGATGGCCGGCATGCTGGAGGTGGTCGTGGAGATCAGAAAGGAGAGGAAGGTGGCCTTGGTGGGCGAGCCTTGTTTCATGTGGGAAAACTGGAAGGCTCTGGAGGGAGTGGTTTTTTGTACGTTAAGTCCCCACTCTCCGGGCTTCCATGGTGCGGCTTCGATCAAGATGTCTTTCCATTCTTGTGGGATAAGGCTGATGGTGTACTGGAGATTAGGTCCTCGTCTGTGACATCCTTTCAGTTGAGAGCTGACTTCCTGTTCAGTCTTCCACTCCTTTCTCTGCTCATTCCATAGGTGGGCGATTTTCCATATTCCGTTTTTTATCCAAGAGAGCTATCTGTGTTCTAGGAAGAGGGGATTATCACCCTCATTTGTCACCCGCTGATTCCCAAAGAGTGGCTGCCTTAATACTTCATCCTTAGACCTAGGTCTATTAGACTTGTTAGGCATTATCTTTCTCCAAATTCGAAGCAGCGCTGACCAGTATGGAGTAGGAGGTATGTAGCCCTCTGGTCTATCATCACGCTTTCGATTCCTTCGTCCCGTGGTCATGGCCCATTCCTTATTCATAACCCAGAACAGTCCTGGCATGTCATCTGGCGAGGGCGCTGGAGCCAGGGATCTAATACTGTCCAGGGCTCACTTGTTCCACACGCTGTCTGGGTTCATCAGAAGTTTGATAATCCACTTGATTTGTAGGGCTTTTGTCTCTATTCCAGGGTCTATAATCCCTAGGCCTCCTTTTTGTGGGCTTCTTGTGACGTAGTGCCATGCAATCTTAGGTATGGCATTCTCTTTATTGGGATCTCCTGACCATAGGTAGGACCTGGCTCTTCGATTCAGCTCTTTAATAGAGCTATCCGGTACTGTCCAGATGGAGGCTATGTACCACATCATTGAGAAGACCGAAGTGTTAAGAACCAGGGCTCGACCAATAAGGGAGGTGAAGACATTGCCCCACCTTCCTATTTTGTTGATTTGTTTGGTCAATATGTTCTGGCCCATTTGGGGTGCTAGGCCCTCCCTTGTCATAAGTATACCAAGGTACCGGGTGGGGGAGTCTGGCGTTTCCCAGACCATGGCTGCTTCCTCTCCTTGTAATTGGAGGGGTTCCTTGTCGGATAACCACCAACCTATTGTCTTTCCCGAATTGATCTTCATTTCTGAAGCCAGTTTGAAGGCATCCATTACTTTGGCCAATGTCCTGAACGAAGAGTCTGATGCTCTGATCAATACGGTTAGGTCATCTGCAAACATGATAGCTGTCGGGAAGTCCATTTGGTGACTCGAGCCTGTATTGATGACGGGGAGTCTGTGAATCGATGGGTCCTTGCGTAGGAATGATGTGATGGCTTCCATTACAAACAGAAAGATCGATGGGGCCAATGGGTCTCCTTGTCGGACTGAACGGGATATCGGGTAGCAATGCGATAATAGGCCATTGACTTGGACACAGCCCACTGCATCTTTGTAGAGTATACGAACCCATTTTCTGAAATTTGGTCCAACTCCCATTTTTTCCATACTTGCATCCATAAAATCCCCAGTTCACTTGGCCATATGCCTTTTGAAAATCGAAAAAAAGTATGGCCGTATTTATTCTTCTTTCCCTGGTTTTCCTTACCGCCTCGTTTAGTGTTAATACATTGTCTAGAATGTACCGACCTAGGATGAAACCGGTCTGATCAATGTGAAAACATTTATTTGTGATTCTAGTGATTCGGTTGGAGAGGGTCTTCGCCAGAATCTTATATGGAAGTGTTCGCAGCAAAATCGGCCTATAATTTTTGATGTCTTCCTTGTCACCTTTTTTATAGAGTAGTGTGACCACGCTGCTGCTGAGTAAGTTACCCAGCCGCCCTCTCGTCCAGCTGTCGTTGTAATAGTTTAACAGATCCGTTCCTAGAAGAGGCCAAAATTTTTCCCAGAATTCTTTTGTTAATCCATCAATCCTTGGCATCTTACCGTTATTCATACCTGTTAAGGCTTGGTGTAGCTCTTCGATTGTGATGGTCTTGTCTAGCACCTCAGCCTACTCGACTGTTATCGTTTGTTCCAGATATTGGAGCATTTTCGGTCTTGCGTCCCTTGAGTTGGGTGTTGTTGGTGTAGGAGTCTTTGACCGGTAGAGGTCCTTGTAAAAATTCTTTGCTATCTCTAACATCCCTTCACTATCCGATCTCGTGATCTCTGGGGCTGTAGTAGATCTTAGGCTTTCTATCGTACTCGCTCTCGAGTTGGCTTTGATTCTGGCAAAGAAGTGTTTTGTCATCGAGTCGCTGAGCTCATATTCGCACATTCTGACTCTTATTTGCGACCCTTTCAGATCCCACCACCTCCACATAGCCAATTCCTCCCCCGCCTTCTCAAAGATCTCATTATAAAGCGGCGAGGAGGGATTATCCATCAGGTTGGCTTCAACTAATTTCAGAGCAAATTCTAGAGTTTGTCTCCTTTGCTTTCTCATAGAAGCAGCTTTCTAGAGACTCTGGCCGCCTCGACCGAGAGAATGGAGTAGCTCCTTTGGAACCATTCCCACCGAGTCTCCGTACTCAAACGCGCAGCCCTCTGACCTGTCCAGCAATCATATACCTCGTTTAGAAAGGTCTGACTGAGCAAAAGAGCATTGTTGAGCTTATGAAAGTTGGCCCGCCTTTTAACTACTTGGTCAAAACATATTACCAACTCAATTGGCTTGTGATCTAGCCCTGTGTATGAGGCCAGAGGTAAAATCTCCGCGTCCTTGACTGCCCCCATCATTATTTCTGACACCAGGAAGTAATCCATTCGTGAGAAGGCATTGTGGTGTGCATGATTTGTCTTGACCAGGGTGAACGTTCTTTTAGTGGGGTGTAGAGTTCTATATGGGTCGACCAGGTTATGATCCAACATTAGCTCTTGAATTGGTAGTGCCTCTGTTAAATTGGGGGTATTGGAGGGTCGCGATATGTGGTCTGTTATCGGGTCCATGTCGGCATTCCAGTCACCCGCCAGAATGCAAGGGGTCATTGGCGGAATCAGGTTTCTGAGATTCATCAGAAAAATCCATCTCTTTGACGTAGAGTTTAATGCGTAGAGATTAATCAATATTAGTTCCTCCTCTTTCCACTTAAGGTGTAGTAAGCACCATCTTCCTTCATTCAGATGTGCTCTTTTGTCTATGATTGTACCTGCTGCATATAGGCGGGATGATTTAGGGATCAAAATTGCGGTCCCCTTTGAACTTGAGGCGGGGTCTTCCTACCATATTTCGTCTTTCAGGCCTCCCAATTTCTTTGCCAGAAAAGAGCGGATTTTGTTATGTTCCGTCAAGAAAGTGAGGTGAGTTTCTTGTAATAACAAAATATCCTCTACTTTCCTATTAGTGATTGTCACCCCTGTTAACAAATCGTTCAATTTTTCTTCTCTCTGCTATATTCCCAAGCCCATTAACATTCCAGCTTCTGATGACTAGCCCTTGATTTCTCCAATCAACACGATCCCCCGCCTCATTAGCCCTTAGCCTATAACTCTCCATGGCTGTAGCTGCACCGGTTTAGGGGGCAAAAAGGTAAGGGGGGATCTAAGGAGGGAGGGGGGGTCCCTCCGCGCTCCCACCCTCTTCGATTACCTCTTGATCGGTCTTCAACCCATTGTCCTCCGATGAGGAGGGTAGACCCTCTCCTACAGTGTCTGAACCCTCCAACCCGTCCTTCCCACGACCGTCCTTCTCCAAATCAGTGAATACATCCAACTTTTCTTTTTCATCATCCACGTCCCATGAATCGCAGTCCGAAGCGTCGCTCCTGTAGAATCTCTCACAGTTGGTGGCATATGCTCTTGCATCCAGGTCCTCATCTCCTTCCAGCAACCCCGTCGAGACAATATGTGCGACCGTTGTGGCCATCAACTCCGCCGACATACCTATATCTGCTAGGATGTTGTAGGGGACCTCAGTCACTGTTTTCCAGGGTTTCCAGATCATCCCGAATCTTAATTTTGTTGATTCCTGCATTTTGGCAATTAGGGGTGAAAAGGCCCTTGGGGAGTTCCTGTTCGTCTCTCGCGTGCTCTTCTCAGAGGTCTCGCAATCTTCTTGCATGCAGGTGTCAATCTGGCTTTCCTCCATAGCTACCGTCTCGAAGATCGTCAGTGGGGTGTCCATTGTTACCTGCTTCTCAAACACTTTGACAACTTTCTCCCCTTCCACGAAGTGAGGGATTTTGAAAGACACATCTGTGGCGGTCTGCCATTCTTGTGCTTTTGCCACATATCTGGCTGCGATGAGTGGTCGGATGTTTCTCAGGGTTCTTCGCGCTGCTTTGGCCGACTTAGTCACCATGGGAGCTTTGCCACATGCTATCTGTGTGATAGTGATAAATTCAGAAGTGTATTCTTTGTTCCATTTCTTCAGCTTCTCTGTTTGTGAAAGTACTACTGCCGCTTCCTTCTCCAGGAGGCTGCGTTCTGATTCCTCCTCCATTTCTGTTTGTTCCTTGTTCAAATCCTTTCTTTTCCGATGCTTGCTTACTTTCCTCGTCTTGGGTCGCAGGTCTTGAAAGTCGTCTTTGGTTGTTGGGATGGTTTTGTCCTTGTCCTCCGTCCCTTGGTCTCTTGCCCTTTTCTTTTCTGCGTATGTAAAGGCCGCATACTCAGAAAATTCTTCTGCTTTTTCCTTTCTAAGCATTTCAAACTAATTGGAGGAGTTGTTGATCCCTGCAATGGTACCTTTCTTTCCATTCACCTGGGGCCTCTCTGCATGTTTCAGGCAGGCTACACGGATATCGAAGGCGTGCTGTCGTTCCCTCTTTGCCTTTTCTACATACTCCCTGAGCCATGTCAAGGATCGGCAGGTTCGATCGTCCTCCTCTATAGAGGCAGCATCTGTTGTGTTGTTCTTTCCTTCTGTTTCCCCGTCTGCTTCGCCTTCCGCCAGATCTGAATCCACTGCATATTCCCCTTTCGTGGTTCCCATCATTTCCACTTTCTTTCCCTTTCCAAATTCCTCTGCCCTCCTTCTCTTTGGGCCCACTTCCTTCTCCAGCTAGCTGCAAACACCGTGTAGTGACCGTTTATTCTCAGTTTGTGCCTTATCCCTTTTTTTTTTGTATGTGTGCAGTTCGGCTTGTTTTAGTGCTTCCCTGAATGTCACCGGGTCTTTGTTGTACTCTTGCTGAATTTGTTCTCTTATGGTGTCCAGATCACACAGTAGATCTTCCCTTGCCTTCTCAATTTGCTGACTCTGTAAGGGGAGTGGTATTAATCTTTGTTGGGTTCCCCTTCACTTTCCCAGTTGCCTTCTTCTGCCATCTGTTGTCCGGGGGTGGGGGAAATGTCTGGTTTTTTGATAGACGGTGTCTGGTCTGCGAAATGCCACACCCAGTCTGGTTCGTCTAAATTATCATCAAAAACCCATCCATCATAGCAGGGGTCCACCACGAACCATATGTCGGGCATCTTCCACTTCTACCAACATGTTCGGTAGTAGCTTGCGTTCTTTTGCTTATTTCAGGAACTTGGGGCAGGTAGGATCAGTTCCCAAGTGACCTCGTTCTCTGCAATGAAAACAGATCGGCGAGGTCCTCGTTGATATCCTTACCTCCACCTCTCTGCTTTCTATCTGTAATTTCCAGACTGATGGAAACACTGGGGGGTCATCTGTTTGTACATCCAGGATCGCGGTCATGGTTCCGCAGTGAGGGGCCAGGAACTCCGGCGTCGGTAGAATCCATTTGAGGACTTTATTCGCTGTGTACTGCCTTTCGAGTCCGTCGACCAGTAAACCATGGAATCCAGGTTGAATGTTATCAAATTGAACCCAGAAGTTCTCTTTCAGCAGGGTCTGTTTGTATGACACTGCAAAGATTGGGTTTTGTCTTTGCGCTGACACCTTCTTCCATATGGTAATGGCACACACTGAACCATGACAGTTTCTGGATTGCATCTTAGTCGCGATTCGTGCGTGATTTTCATGAATGAAGACTACCATAATGTTGTTGCGGCCCAAATTCAGCAGTGTGTAAGTATCTCCAATCTGCTTGAGTTTCGGTTCCTTTTTTATAGTTTCGATTATCCACTTCCTCTTTTCTGATGGCTGGAGATCTGCCCCATGGCGTGTAAAATTGAAGACTACCCCATGTCTTTCGTGCAGATCATCCAATTCAACAATCTATTCTTCTGGGTATTTCCAGATAACCACCTCCTCTTCCTTTCCGTCCACTATCTATTTTCCAGTGGACTCAATCCCCTGAACTTTCGTCTTCTCAATTAGGAATTTGAGGGCTTCGTTGTCAATGATATTGACAGTGCTTTCCGGTGCCTCCTCGTATGTGGGGGCCGTGGTTGGCGTTGGGGTAGCCTTCTTCCTCTTTTCAGTGGTTTCGACCCTGTCTTGTTCAACTGTTGGTGTCTAGTCCGTCACGCCCTTATGGAGGGTGCAAGGGGAAGGGAAGAGGGGAGAAAAAAGGGGGGGGAGGGGGGGGGGAGGGGGTTAGGGGAAAGAGAAGGTCAATAGAGGTACGGCAGATCCAAAAATGAGGGCTTTGCGGTTGGTATGGGGGGGAGAAGTGGCCCGGAGGGACTATAGTGGTGGCCGGAAGGAATTGAAGGTAGATATGGTGATGTGTATGGTAGACAGTAAGGGGGGGAGGAGGTGAGAGTGGTAGGCGGGAGGGGTGATGAATATTCGACTTTGGAGTCTGGAGGGGCGCTTAGAGATGAGTAATGAGACGGGGAGGCGGGGAATAGCGTCAGTGACGAGAGAGCGAGACGGTAAAGAATGGGGTGGGGTCAAGGTCGGGAATCAGTAGCGAGCGAGAGAGATAAGGATGGGGTTGGATGGGATGTGGGAGGATCGAGAAAGAGGAGAGAGTAAGGGCTGGGAGGGTGGAAGGGTGGATGGAAGAGATTGATCGATGACTTCTAAACTAGTGGTGGTCGGTGGGGAGGGGATTCGAAGAGAGGGTGGATAGGTGGGGCGGTGAGTGGATGGCTAGCGATACGGGAGTAAGGATAAGAAGGGATGGTTATAGGGGGGGGGGGGGGGGGGGGGGGGGGGGGGGGGGGGGGGGGGGTAGAGTGGATCGGGAGGGAAGCGGATTAACGAGACGGGGAGGCGGGGAATAGTGTCAGAAAAGAAGGATCGACAGCAATGAAATGGAGTTGGATTGGGAATCAGTAGCGAGCGGGAGAGACAAGGATGGGGTTGGACGAGAGGTGGGAGGATCGAGAATGGGGAAAGGGTAAGAGCTGATGGGAAGGGAAGGCCGACTGGGACTAGTTATCTGCTGGTGACGGTCGATGGAGGATTCGATGGGTCGGTGAGTGGTTGACTAGCAATACGGGAGTAAGGTTAAGAATGGATGAGTATGTGTGTGTATGAGTGTGGCGAGGGGGGGAGAGGAAAAGGGGGAGAGTCAAGTGGATCGGGAAGGAAGGTAACTCGCGGATTAAAGGAGAATCGAAGGTCTGCGCGAGTGTTGCTGGCAATGGTGTGACGGGGTAACGGTGTTGAGTTTTGGGTGGAAGCTGGCTGGTCGCAGGTTATCGATAGGGGAAAGACTGGGGGATCGGGAAGGGGATAGATTCCAGGGTAGGTTGGAGAGCAATAAATGAGAGCTAAATCCGAGGGGATGGACGAGGACGCTATGAGAGAGGTGAAAGTGGTTTTAAATATAGAGATGCGAAAGGAGCAGAATAGGAAGTCAGTATCATCCCTTACTCGATTAGCATGTCCGACTCATATTCCTTCTTGGAGGGCCTGGGTTCCGATTTTGCCGAAATACAGAAGGGCCTACCTTTGCCGGGGGAAAAAAAAAAGAATTGTGTATGTATGTTCGGGCGGCTATGGCCGCTAGACTCTCTCTCTCTCTCTCTCTCTCTCTCTCTCTCTCTCTCTCTCTCTCTCTCTCTCTCCCCCCCCCTACAGGAATCTACTCCCGGCCTCACTCTCTCTCTTTCTCTTTGAAAGACTTCCTTCTCGCTCGGTCTTCTCTCTTGCTCACTGTACTATGCTATGGAGCCGGGCTCCATTGACTACTACCTACTGCTAGCCTCACTCGACGCTTGACCGCACAAGACCACAACAACGCTTCCACGACAGGCCCAAATAAAAAATGTGTTCTCAGTTTGCTGCAGCTCGACTTTTCTACTGTGCGGCAGCTGCCAATCTCAGATTTATTGTCCTGGTGCTCCGACTTCTTGACAGCGGCCAGTCTTTGACACACCCAAAGTTAACGGACTTTCCTGGGAGGCTGGGACTGAACTGCATTTTTGTACTTGACTCACTGGGCCTGACTACCTATTGGACCTGTCAGTCCTGAGAAGCGGTTAACAGTGCCCCAAAATTTCAGGGCCCCAACCCATACAGTGGACCACAGTAAGGTCATACTGAGTCTACATCTTTCCCTGCAATTCCGCTCAGATTCCTGGTGGGAATCTGTCAAGTAAACTTATAAAACAAGGAGAGTTGAGAAGGGCCAAAGAGTTGCTTCTTCAAAGAAAGTTGGTGTCTTGTGTGTGTCCTTATGTTGCCTGTGGGTCCTGAGGACAGCCCACAGCTTGTTGTAGTGGGCTTCTCCACCTGGTTTCTGAGTTATGCCAGTCTTTCCAACGTATGCTGCCATCTCTTAGCTCTGCAACTTTTCCTCCCACCAGCCAAACTTTGACAAACTTGGAGAGGATAGTACCCTGCCCATCTTCATCCTTGGGCAATGCCTGTTTTGTTCTGTGCCATTTGCATAAGATCTCCGCCTGAATCAGTGTCCTGGTTTCTGCCCAAACCTTTTCTCTTGGTCTTGATAATTTTTCGATCGCTCTGCTGCATCTCTCTTTGCATATAGACCATAGTGTGACTTTTCTGATCATACCGTACCATGTCTTCTCTGAACTGTTGAGGTCAGTCGGGATGTTAGTCCACAGTAGAAGTTGGATGGAGTGTTCAGGGAAGGCCCCGGAAGGGCTTGGTAAAAAGGGAGTCCCACAGATCCGAAGCCCTGGCCCAGCATTTTGTTGCTTCTTTGCATCGGATTAGGCAGTGAAGAAAGTCTTCCGTTTCATTTTCTGAGCGAACTGTGCATAGGTTGGAACTGTTAGGATCGTTCTTCCATCTGCGAATATGGAGCCACTGGTTAACCAGTAGCGTTAGATAGGCTATCAGCCATTGGAGACTCCTGATTTTGACCGGTCTGATTGATTTGAATTTCTTCAATGGAATCTGTGTGACCTAGTTGCCTCTTGACCAATTACTTTTGCGCATCTGCTTTTGATTATTGGTTCCGGGTCTTTGGTCTTGAGGAATAATTTGTACCCCATCTTCACCGAGTAGTCCTGGATTTCTCATGTATTTGTTCCTTCCTGATGTCCAAGCCCATTCTGTTGGGTCGAATTCCAAATCCTGGATCGTTGTGTCCATCCTAAAGATTGTTTTGGGCCAGGAGCCCTTCACTCTCACTTTCCTGAGAAGAAAGATGTCTAGATTTGTTCTTACTACGTCCTTTTCTAGGATGGACGCCGATCCATGCACCGATAGTGATATTGGATAGGAGGTAAAAATTGCAACAGTGTTTGAGCCTTGTTGTTTATGTGAGAATTGGTAGGCCGTTGAGGGGGGGCATTTCCTGGAACCGGATCCCCCATTCGCCTGTTTTCCATGTTGGTGGACTCTTTAACATATCTTTCCATCCTTCAAGTTGTTGTTGATGATGGTCTGTAGGTTCCTATTCCGTTGGTGACAGCCCTTGAGGGGGGCGGCAAGGTCAAGGTCTGTTACCCATTCCCTTTT